CACGCCTTTGGTACTGCACCCTAAGATCATGCAGCTCCCTCACAGTTCCTGACTTAGCTCAAGCCAGGAACTCCTGGGAGCCTAACTCCTTAGGGACAGCAGCGTGCCAGCACGCCCGGCCTCCTGCTGCACAGGGCGGCTGCCCTAGCTCCTTCGGTGAGGCACAGCACGCAAGCAGGGCAGGGCAGGACTCAAGCTAAGATTCAGAAACAAGCTCCTGCTGGTAGCCATGTCTTACACGGTTTTCATATCCCTTAAGGTTGTTACTGTAGCATAACGGGTTGAAAAAACCCAGGAGTGACCATTAATGACAGTAACAGAGACAAAAAATCAAAGATGACAGCACAAACGTTACATTTCTCGGTAGTTCTGGAGATGGACAGCCTGCCGTTACTAGTAAGACCACTGCTCTGTGCGGTATTTTTAAGTACGGGCCAATCCTACAGCATAACCAGACAGGAGGGTTAGACCTAACACCTGGAACTAGGTATGGGGTCGTACTGATTAACCACATCTTGGGCCTTCCCCCGTGTCGCATCAGGTAGAGACAGACCTGAGTACTCCGTACGTGACGGCGGATGCACGTAGGGCGCTGACGCACACCGCGCTGACAGAGAGGTGCCTCAGCTTTACAGAAGGCTCAGGCTGAACAGTTCACCTACGTTACACAGCTGATCCCTTACGCCAGCTGTGATGCAGGACGGATGGCCACCACCAGCGCAGAAGTACCTTGTGTACGCAGCTCCGTCTTGTGTCCGTTTTCAAGATTCAGGTGCCCCCCCAGCCACTGCCCTCAGCCCTTGCTGAGGAAGCCTGCCCAACGCTCATTCAGCCAACCCAAGAACCTTCTTGTTTCCTACAACCTGAAGGCAGCGAGACTCCCGTCTCGCTAGCAAGCCGAACGCATCCTCTGAGGAAATCAAGCCCTCAATCCACAGGAGCGTTTAGCACACCTGGTTCTTCTGACACGTGCCAGAAGGGATGCAAGATGGAGGCCCCACCTGCCTCCCCCCAGCTTAACATCCCGGTTGTTGAAATGAAACACTGGGAGGGATTTTATCTGCACTGGCTCAGCGGGGCCCTCGCAACCAGAGAGCAGAGAGGAACGCGTACAGCACAGCAGGCTGCGGGAAGAAAAATGGCGTGTCTGTTGCAAAGCAAGCACAAACATCGTACTGCAGCCCTTGCATTACACGTGGGATACTTGCCCCCTCCCATTTTGTTTTCCTAAACTTTTCTTTCACGAAGAGGCTCTTGTTTACCATCACACAGTAAAAGCCAGGCGTTACACTCCTGAAAGGGTGAAACGTGACCCAAACAGCCGGTAAAAGGACTTGTAGTGACGTTTTACCAAAGCCAACCACAGGCTGCTGAAGGGCTCACATCCACCAGATACGCAGGCCAGCCCCCGGCCCGGCCTTCGCCCGGCTGCGTCCCGCCGCAGCACGCGAGCAGAGACAGCGATGGGCTCAGTGCACGCAGTCCGTTTCCCTTCACCCAAATGGCCGAGGTCCTGGTGTTCCCCCCATTTTGAAGTGTCGTACAGACAACTTCCATGTGAAGAACTGGAGTTCTCAGTGAAGAGTCTCACCTCTTTCCCACAGACAGAACAGCTTGGCAGTCACTGCATTTCAGACAAAAGGGGACGTACCCGTTCGAGTCTTTTTGCCTGGACACGATGGCCAGATGCTCTCAATCCCTATGAATGACACTCTGAAACCAGTAAGGTCTTGGGAGTCTCTGCGGTGTCATTCACAGCTTTCTGTAAGAGCTATGGATTAGAATAAAGCAAGAAATGTCATCTGCATTTGGCTCCAAGCCACCGGCTACTCTCCTTTTGCTGGGAAATTTAGGTTAAAGCTTAGCTGGATTTTGTGCAGCTCATTTTAGAAGATTAGAATTACCAGTGAAATTCTCCAGCATGTAATAATCATCTTCTCATCAATGTGTATTTTTTAACTACCCAATTACTGCCACATTGAGATTACTCCCTGGATTGGGAGCTGGTATTTAATTACAATGCTCCACTAGTGCTTGTACATCCTGAAATCCGCAACACAGGCGTGTTACGTCTAATGAACTTTGTGGTAGGTCCAGTGTTAAAGATTCATCTCTCTCATTCAGCCTTCGCAGAGTTTTGCAGGTCAGAAATTGTCTAATGCATGATAAGTAATGCAGGCTCTGTTTATTCCATGCTGCGCGCAATTTCACGTTAGAATTACAAGCCTCCTTGCCAAAAACATCCTTGATTCTCGGGCTTCGAGAGAGTAATTGGTACCTCGCATTCTCCCCTTTTTTGCACCAATTAAAACCTGCAGGTGCACTAACGCTGTCAGCTGGAATCTCGCAGCTACATCAGAGGTTATGTTCACCAAATGTGTGCTATTAGGAAAATCGGCCCATCAGGGGAATGGTGACTGCTGTTTGTTGTTACAGTGCTCTCAAGGCTCTCCAGATATTGTACTAGCGCGAGACCAGAGAAGAATTCTTTACCTCTAAAGTAAACACAGGGTGCCATAAAACCAAAGTTCACTTGGAAATACTACTTTCTCGCTCACTCAGTGTATATTTGAAACAGGTGAATCGTTTCTTCAGGCCTGTCAGATTTAAAGGCCAGACACGACTGTTAAGGTCACTGAGGATTGCTGAACACAGACCACGAAATTTCTCTTTATTTCTCTTGAAAAGCACTCTAGCACACAAAGATGGGCTTAAAAAAAAACCCCAAGCAAACAAACAGATCAACAAATGAAGACTCTCACCAGTCTTGAGATTGGTAGCAGAAGGCAAGAGGCACTGATGGCAGCAGCAAAAATACCCTTTGATTTAAAATGTCCGATACTTGTCTCAGGTACAGCGAAGGAAAAACCCACCTCCCTTCTGAAGTTTTTCCAGTGGCTAACTACCCTCACTACAAAAGGTCTCCCTGGCACCATGAGAGAATGGCTTCAAAGTAATGTAAGCGCACCGGTCAAAAGTTCCGCAAACTTGGTATCAATCTATTATTTTGGGTTTTCTTACCCAGTCTATTACATGACGGGACTCCAGAGGCATCAAGGCACTACATGCAGGGCATTAGATCTATTTCTATGAGGAATAAATACCACTTCAAGTGAAGAGCTCCCAACAATACTGGCTGAACTGGAATTTGGTAACCTGAACTCCGCCATCACTCCTGAAGGATCTCCCCTCCCCAGCCTCTACAGAGAGGTGTCAAGTGTCTCCATTCTCTTTAGCTTTAAAGGTCAGTCCTCACGTAAGACTCAACTCCTTGGCAGACTTTGGGTAATTATTTAATCACTGACAGAACTGTTCTTTCGCAGCGTATTTCACAGCTCAAGAGACTTCGCAGTGAAACAGCAGGACATCCAACCCCTAAGTGCAGAGAGGTTTCTGTTCAACGTCTATGGCACACAGCCCTGCAGAAGTTCACTTTGGTTCCAAGTCCTCCACCTCCAGCAAGGTATCCTGTCCGAGTAAGATGCCTGAAGTAATTAAGGGGTTAGCGATACCTTCAGGGTACAACCTTATTTTGGAGAAAGCAGCCAGGGGTTGTGCATTCTCAAAGGAGTAGGACCCTAAGAGGAATTCTTTTTTCCCAAGTGTGGCAGAAACGATACTGCCATCCAAACGGATTTGGAGAGAACAGTAGTGTAGCATGGCAGTCAGGGAACAAGGCCACGGCATCGTTTAACATGGCACGTACCTCCTACCACCTGCAGAGGGGCAAGGTTTGTACCAGGCCCTTGTGAACGCAGGAAGGAGAAAGGACATTCCCTCCATGCCCCCAGCTGTTTCCAGGGCACCTCTACCAACGCCTGTTCCATCCAGTCCCCTCCAACTGTGGGTGTCAGTTTTACAGAAATAAGTAACGAAAATGATACTTGAAAGTGCTCATTTTTTAACAGCTGAACAGAAAAGAAGAAACAACTGAATTTTTAATAACTTTTTACAGCCAGAGACGACCATAAATTGTGCAGTGAACAAGCGCGCAGCTGGGAGGGAATTCCGTTTTCATGACGTGCAAAACTGATGAAGTGGTAGCGCTTTTCCTGAACACGCTTGCACACCTCATAGGGAAACACATTGCCTGATACTCACAGACACTTCCCCTTTCACCGTTAAGCATGTACAGAATTGAATAAGGAAAAAAAACCCCAACCAAAGTACTGATAAACATAACAGACTGTAAAACCCACAGAGACAAATGCAGTATTAAGTCGAGCCTGACTTAATAAACTCTGCGTGAAAAACACAAACCAAGATTTGACTGAACCACATGGACTTGAAGATTTATATATATGGGTTTTTTTCTTTTTTCTAAGGGGGTGCAAGGCAGGACTGCTACCAGAAACTTGAAAATAAACCCAAAATGCAGCCCTCTCATCAACTACTGGTCTGGGCCACTTAGGAGAGGGTAAAATTGGTTATTTTTCCTCATGAAGCGTAATTCTGCAAACATCATTTGGGACTACAGGAAACGCCCTTGAAATTGTAGATAAAACTCTTCTCACACTGCCACTGGAGAGAGGTGTGTCTGGGGGTAGGGGGAGAGCATCTGCTTATTCCTGCTATCTCCTGAATCGGCAGCACCCCTGCTCAAACGGACCTGGACACCCGTAAGCCGGGTCACCGACAGCAAAGGGATTTCTACGTAAACCAGGCAGGGCGCATACCCATGCTGAGCGGGGTTCTGTTCCGTCAGGGCTAAGCTCCGGGTACTGAACTGCTCTCTAGGCAAAACAGTCCCCACCACCCTCAGAAAATCAACTGAGGTCTCAAAACAGGTGTGACAGTTCGCTGCTTTTACGTGGGGTAATGAGGTTCAGAGTCAGACCACTTAACTTCCACAGGCCCAGATCAGAACCGGATGTTAACTATGCGTCTGTTCGATTCCTTGAATGGATCTTTTGTGGACTGCATAAACAAGAATCCTGCTACTCATTTTCACACTGCAGAGTATTACCAGCTTTACCTTGCTTACCCTGAGGGGCTAAAGCAGGAAGGACAGACTCTAAAACATCCGCAAAATGTTGTAACGTTTTGTTAAAATAAAAGCTCCCATGTTTACAGGCAAGAAAAGGTCTTCATTTTCTGCAGGATTCCACAGCTGCCAAGATGTCTTGCAAAATGCTGTTTCTGTTTTCCTTACTAACCTAGAGAAAGAGAAATTAAAACTGATGTAATTCGACGAATAACCTCCGTATCAGTGCTCACTTCAAAACCAAAGCAAGCAGAAATCCAAATGCATTTCTTCCTCGGTGGAGGAATGTTGAGTGTCAAACACCTGCCTTGTGCTGCTGCTGAGAACACAGGAAGCTAAACCCACAAACCTGCATTTGTAATTGAATATTCAGTGATCGTTTTGATTTAATTACCCATGGTATTTTGCTGTAGTATTCAGGGCTTGAAAAACTAACAAGAATCACTCAAAGAAACAGCATGTACTTTTGTCATTACTAGAAATCCTTCTCAGTTACCAAATATAGTTTTCCTGCTATGAAGTGGAGCTCCTATGCCTTCAGTACTAGAAAGGGTTGTATTTATTAGGATGACAGACCTAGTCAAAAACACCTACAATGAAACAAACAGCAACAGGCGTAGCAGCACAGCTCTGTATTCCGAGAAACCTCAGCATCACAGGACAGAACACCCTGAAAAAGAAGTAAGACCACTTGAGAAAGCTGGGGGGCTTTGTGGCACACCGAGGTACGCCTCTGCTTGACTGGTCCGTGGCAACAGTGGGCTTTAAGACCAGTACATGTGAAAATCCCTACAATCCAGATCCTGTCTTTTTGCTGGCCTGCTTGCTCAGCTCCCGCGTGCAGCAAGGACCCAGCCCGGGGCTGGCAGGGGGGTGGTGGCACGTGGAAACGGCCCCTTCGTGAGAGACCGGGTCCTGATAGAGGGCCCGGTGCCCCACAGCACCACGCGTTACTAACTCAACCCAAACCTGGAGATGGCCGGGGTGGTGAAAGGGTCAACAAGCAATTGTGAAGTGTCAGCAAAAGCCTAAGAAATTTTCCCCACTCTTCAGATCCCCGCAGAGAGGGCAGGAAGTAATCGGACAAAGACAGACGAGCCAAACAAAGTAAGGGCATTCCTATCTTTAACGAAGTCTGAGAAACGCTGTTTGATGAGGAAGGAGAGACACCACACTACGCATGGCATGAGGCTCCCTACCAGCAAGGTTTCACTGCATTCCCTGTAGCTGCGTGTAAGACCTGAGCACGAGGGTTTGCATCCCTTCCAGTATTACAGTCAATACTGAACCGGAGAAAGCATTATCATTTTTATTCTTATTTTCAAGTAGGTGACAGTCCTCCCTAAAGAATTTGGTCCTAGGAGCCTACTGGTATTTACAGTCACAGGCATCCTATCCAAATGCTGGAAAGGAACCCTGTGACACCGAGGGACGATGGTCTCACCTACACCACTTGAATTCAAGAGGGCAGATCAGCTCTGATGAAAAAGGGACATTAAAAAAAGGGAGGCTGGTGGTGGGAAACGAAAGGGAAGATCTGCCTGAAAATGTTTTTACTGAGGATCATTCCAAGCATATCGTAAGATAAACAGAAAACCCCACAGTAACAAAGAGAGCAAGACAACAAAGAACGGAATTGCTCCTCAGTACGACTGTTGAGAGACCCCCAAGTAAACAAGGCACAGAGCACAGGTCAGCCAAACTCTACATCTCACAGCAAGCGTCCTTATGTCCTGACTTTGAAAGGGCCTTCTCCACATTAAATTGCTCTTCCCACTGTCTGACAGCCAACAAAAACAATGCTACATTTTATCTACCCCTTTTCCATGCCTCCATGCCGGAAGTCCAGTGAGAGCAGCAGAGAGAAAGTGCCAAATGCCGGGAAATTTTCACGCCTGTTGTACAAAGGCTGCTTGATCGAGAAACGTCTCCTCTCAAGATCTGGAGACCTTCTGTGCAGGCAGCTTTCCCAGGGAGAACAAATCTCCCCGTGCCTGTACTGAATGTACAAACAGACAGGTAGATTTTTAGACAGGGAGTTGAAAACAACTGCAGATGCTGCTTATACCAGGCATTTACATAATCTGGAGGAAACTACCACCTAGACTCCAAGCAGGCAATAGCAGAGGAGAAAAGCTTTCTTCCCCTAACTGTTACGGCACTGTCAAGGAAACCCCTCTTGTACAGTCTCTTCACATGGAACCTTTTCTTCTGCCGATCCATTTAACCATTTTCTTTCTTAAAAGGCATATGCAACCAAGCCTCACTACTGGGTTTCATGGAAGCAAAATCAGTAGATGGGAAAATGGGAAGAATGTGTCAGCTGCAAAGGAGAATCTGATCCTATTTATGACACCGTGTCTGCAAAACTACACGGACCCAGGCAGTGCAAAAAGAGCCTCTGTAGTTTCACTGGAAAATTCAGTTCTCGGCAAAAGGGAACTGGGCAACAATGGAAAGAAACGTGTTAAAGATCAGAGCTCCTACTGTTAAGTGCTCTAAACATAATATATGAAACACGTGGGACCAAATCCTCAACTGCTTTTAGGGCATCTGGGCCCGTTTACACCAACTGAACATGCGGAAGGGAGTGTAAAACCCCAAACAGCTGTCTCTCTGCACTGAGCCTCCACCGTCAGAACTGTCCCTGTGACACTGAAAGAAGGATGAGAAAACTCCACAAACCTGAACACCACCTAGCTCTGTATTAAGTGACAAAGCAGGCAGAACTGGTTGGGAAGGTAGCCACCTACTTCTGCACACTTCCAGGCACCATAAAAGTGAGTAAGAAATTACTAACCATGACCTATTTGGGCGCTGCAGGTTGTCCCCATGCCACAGCCCTTGAAGAACCTAGCTGGTGATCCAGTATTTCCTTCAGCTAGTAACACCTCTGACTCCCCACGGGCGGGTTCTGTTCCACGTTTTAACTAGCTGGGAAAAAGCATGTGGTGTGTCACTGGAGCAAGCGAGACAGATGCTCTCCTGCACAAGACTTCAGCAGAGCAGGTCTGTGCCACCTGGGAACTGCTGCAGTCTGTCACACATTTCACACCCATGCTTTTGGCTAGCAGAGTCACCAGAGAACTCTGAACAAAGAAACCTGCACATCCTCATCGCAGTAGCGTAAACAGGATGACTCTTTTTTTTTTAGCTACAGGAAACATTGCTCCGTTGGAATTTACAGTAGGACTTTTGCTGGCTGTGGCCAGTACTTAAGAGAAAGATACTATTGTCAGGCTAGTAACAGCTAACAACCCGGGGCTGAGTGGCACCTGCCCTCAGAACATCGCCTGATAAAAAGAGACAGCGGAAGCCTCAAAAGCTTCCCTGGAAAGCCAAACACCGTTTTCTAGCACTCCGTTTCCTCCCCTGAGAGGAGGAAACGCACGCTACTGCCTTGCTGTGACTGCAGCCTAAGCACGGAATGACTTACTTTCAGCGAGGCATTCTCCACTCCCCCCTCCCCAACCCCACCACTGTACAGCACGCCGTATAAAACCCACGTGCGCCCCAGTTCAGCAGCCTGAACACTATCACACATCAGCTTGTCAGTGGGAAACCTGGGGCTTTATCTCTGGAAGGAACGGCAGGAGCTGAATGCTTATGTGAGAAAAGGAATCTTTGCCTGTCTTTGCTCCTAGGATTGCTTTCGCACTTAATTAGACAGGCATTTAATTAAAAAATACCCCAGAAATTGAAGATGATGATGACACCACCAACTAAACATTGAGCCTCCTCAGCCTCACCAACTAAAACAGAGCTGAGGAACTTCTCTGAGCACTGCAGTTTCGTTAATCTCCCTTTGAGGAGGAAAAAAGAAGATGGAAGCTTCGCTTTCTCTGCAGTAATTAAGACCATTCAGTATAAAGTTGTTGAGATAGGGTTTTTTCCTTCCTCATTCACTTGGATGAAAACAAAGTAAGCGTTCTCACTGTGACCTGCATCTGATAAAGAACAGGCTGCAACACTATACTGCTCTACAGTGTATTACTCCTGTTAGTAAGCCAGGATGTGTAAGTCCCACTTACTGAATCTGTAATTTACAGAGTTCAGTTTGGGATGTACAGCTTTATTCTGCACTACAAATAGTAAATACTGAGCAGAAAAATAAATCAAAGGAGTGAGGGCTGTGTTTATCTTGGGTTTGTGAAGCATCCAGTACATGTAGAGATGTTAAGGAAACCTCATGCATGTAACTCCTGTGAGCAGGCTACGTTCTGTTGTGGTAAGTGTTTGAGAACCTCCCTGTAACTAACCAGAAACATACTTTGAAGCCTTAAGATTCTGAAAATTATGTCTGTAAAAATAACATCATGAATCCAGAATTGGTTCACTGACTCCAGGGAAAGCAGACTCCATTTACAAGTGTCTTTCTTCTAGAAATCATTTCTGCAAACCCAACTGCTGCCCTTTTGGTGTGGTGGTGGTTTTTTTTTTTTTTATTCTTTAATATGATTACTGGTGAAATTTCTGCAAGCCAGTCTGGAGAAGAAAAATGTGACCGTACTTTAAAAGATTTAACTTTTAGGAATAATGAACACTTATACGGGAATCGTACTGCAGCAAGAAACCCTTTTAAAACAACTGTATCATTACTTCTACAGCCCCTCACAAGCAAAGCCAGCTGTGGGAGACTGCTACACTAAGTGCCAAATGTGGTATTTTTTTATAACAGGGTGAACACCTGCCCATTATGGATAAAATGGAAACTAAAAAACTTATTTCATACAAGCTACCCACAGTTATCGATTGGTAGTAGCAATTAGTTTTTCAACAGAGCCAAATACAGACCAGCAACCTAGAACAGAACGCTTTTTAAGGATATTAAATATTACTCACGTTGAACACTTTAACATCTTTCCTACTTCTTATTTCTTCAACAAGATCCAGCGGCTTTCCCTTAGGTATTGGAATAGTTCCAAGCACGACGGTCCCTGAGGCAGTCAGTGTTTGACGAACAGCTTGAATAAAAGCCTGGCTGAAGAGTTCCATTTTACCAATCTCATCTATGACACAGATATTCTTCTCGGCATCACCGCCATGGTTTACCTGCAGAGAAGTGCATCAAGAGACTGTAAACAACACAGAACTTAGAACAAGCCACAGAAATAATTTCTACGCTAATAAAAGAAAAACATCCAAAAGAAATCAATTTAATTGTCATACTGGGGAAAGTGGAAGAGTCAAAGCTAATGCTGGTAACCGACAGACTTCTAAATCTATCATTTCTATTTCAGCACAGATTTCTGGAAAGATGAAAATGTACGTACAGCATAAATACCAGCTGCAATAGGAAATACCCATAACAACACTTTTCCTTCAGAGCAGAGTTCTCACAGTGGTCCCATGCGAGCTACTTCCCAATTAAGAACTGGACTTTGCCCACCAGCAGCTCTCAATCAATCTGAGGGACGCCCTTCTTTCAAAACTTCACCTCTCCCATCAAATTACGCATTTAGAATAGATCAATATCCATGCAACACAAGTATTAAAAAAAGGACTTGCATTAAATCTAGATTTGGAAGTTTCTTCTCTTTTAGCTGGGTCACAGGGGGGGGTCAAAACTAGCCTTTCTCTCCGAACAACTAGCTTTCTTCAAAACTATCTGGATAACAACCAAGCTGTTTCCAAGCCTTTCGCACACTGGAACAGTCATCTTCCATTTCTCTGTTAAGACACAGCTTATGCTATAGCCCTTGCCATCCCCCTGGATTGCAGGATAGGCAACATTCCAACGATTAACCGCATTTGTGGTTTGTTTGCTGTTTTCATGAAGTGAATACTGAGCCAAACAGCACCGTGCTACAGACTGATGTGAGCAGCAGGGAAGTCCAGGAAAGAACACAGGTGACTGCCACTGAGGGAACGGCAACTTGGAAAGCGGAGGAACTATTCAACAGAAAAGGAAGTGAACTGCCTACCCTCTCTTAGTAAAAGTAACTGAGAACTGTACTCCATTGCTTAGAGAAGTGAGAAGGAAATCAACTGAAGTCAAAACATCACTGTAGGCCCATGAATATATACCTATACGAGCCATATTACACAGAAGCTAAAAAAAAGGAAAATAAAAATCAAAGTATTTTCCCTTGTGAAGGCAATGTATTTGCTTCTGGGAATGTGGAAGAACTGTATACCATGCATCCTAAAATCTTTCCAAGCTAAGTCCCTGCTGAGTAGCTGTTTTATCTAAAATCTTTTCATAGATCAGTGAGCTAAAAAGCCAATACTAGTCACTAGGTCACACACTGAGAAGCAGGGCATTTTGCTTTGATCAAAAATCTTAAGTACTCCCTGGTAAAGTTTCCACAACCAGAGAGAACACCCACTGTAGGACCTACCCCTGTTCTCAACAGAGTGAACGAGATCCAAGCCTTAAGAGCTGAAGCTGTTCTCAAGACTAAATGGGCACATGCCCACTCTGTGCTGGTCTCTGATCAAACCAGACCATACCTGTGACTCTCCTGCCCTCATTTTTCATTTGTCTCTTCTTGTTTCAGTTCTATGATCTTCTTCACTCTCCTCCTCTCCCATTCTGTGCCACCTACATGCATGATGACCACATTCCCACAAAACTGATTAACACCGCTTTCCGTAAGAACAGGGTCATGCACTGTCCGACCCTGATGGCCCTTTTCTTCTCTTCACTCTCTTGTACTTGCAGAAAGCTACATAACAACCAGACAAGTTCAACACTGCTAACACCCTTCTAGCAAGATCTCTCCTGGACTTCATACTAACGCAGCAGTAAAAGGATTCCAAGTACAGCTCTGGTTTAATGAAGTCTTTTTTATTAAACTACCCTTCTATCTACTGACATAGTAAATCAAGTTACAGTGAAATTACACATGTAACAACTGTCCCGTTTTACTCATTTCTTCTTTGCTCCCCCACTCTCAGACTTTAAAGTTCCTTCACAAAAACAAGAATCAGATCCTCAGTCTCATTTTTGCTCTTTGCACCTCTTCGGTCTTTTGTTCTTTCACAGTTTGTTAGGAAGTCCCTTCTTCCTTGGCCCCCTGAGCTTTGGCAGTGTAGAAGAATCACAATAGTATTTTTTTTAGTGGTACAGTTCAGCAGCTGCTGCACACTGTGACGTGTTATTGCCAAAATCAGATCTTTTCTTGTTTAATTTTAGAGAGGGGAAAGGTTGGAGTGAGAGAGAGGAAGGAGAAGGAAAAGGCAGTTAGAAGGCTAGGAAAAAGTCTGTGTGGAAAGTCTTGTCATAGTCAGAACGCTCCTTGTGCAGCAGGCTAAATCCCAAATCATCAGGCTCCTATTATCAGTTAAAACCTACCAGTCTGCAGGTACTTACACAGTGGTAATCAAAAATAACCACTGGATTCAACAAACAAATGCTTCTACTGGAATAAAACGGGAATCAGAGGAAGAGTGGGAAAAAAAAGGCTGTAAATAAGAGCAGCAGCAAAAGCTTTTTCTTTTTCTTGAACACACTGACCCCACCCAGTTCTGCAGGGTAAGCCACTTACATATTCTGTTTGTTTTCCAATATGCAAGCCAATGGCATGGGAAGAAGCCTCCTATTGGCTGTCTCTCAGGCCAAGGACGTCCTGCTCACAGGACTATGTCAGATCAATAACAAGAGGGACTGCAATCTCTCTGACACCACAATGAGAACCATCGATACCCAAGAAACAGGCCAGTTAGTAATATCAAAAAACAGTGCTCTAGAAGGGCCTTCCAGTAACACTGATGATCACAAAGCATCCAGTTTTCAGCAGCTTTAATGGAATACTCACATTTCTCAGCATAGGTAGAACCAACTGCTCAAATGAAACAAGGTCTACAACATACTGTCCGACCCGGTACTCACGTCTTGAAGTAGAAGGATCAGAACTGCATTTGAAAAAGAGATGCACAATTCCTTTTAAGTAATGAGTTCAGTGAGAATTCACTGCAGTCATTTCAAGTGGATTTGTGAGAAATTATCCTAGTAAGTCAAATTCCCTTAATTCTTCTAAGAAAAGGAAAGAAACTCCGTAAACCATCCATTAAGTCATCCTGCAGAAAATTTATTCAGAAAATAAACATACCATAAGCTAGCTTCACAACTATGTAAGCTCAAATTCGAACAGTGTATTAAATGGCAATGGGATCTAAAAGCCAGCAGGTACATTTATGCCAAGATCAAAATACGTGCCTGCAGTTCAGATCTTTGAATTTGGTTACGTGACACTATAGCTGAAATCTCAGTATGGGCTGCAAAACCCCTAAATAATCTTGGGAAAACACTCAGTTTGCATATGCTGCATTACACTAACCTCGGTGAACCTCCTTGATTAGCAGCATGCCAATTATTTAGTCAGATCAACTACACCCGAATGAGACGCTGATGTCACATCTGGCCCGATGACACTTCGTTTTGCACAAAGCACGAAAAGCTAAGTATAGTGAATCAGGAGAGACTGTGAGCCCCTCTGCACTTCAGAGGCCCCCCTCTAAGCAGGGCTCTGAAACCCTCTTTTTCTTAAAATTCACATGTGGGTTTTGTGATCCAGTCAGTGGTTCTTTAAAACAATGTTATATGCAATTTCCCTTTTATCTTCCATTTCTGTCTCCATAAATCAGCTGGTGGAAATAAAAAAAATCCTCCTCCCTGCCTACAATAAGCTACTTCCTGTATTCCAAAGAGGCTTGGCCTCACAATAAAAGGCTCAGCAGGGCTTCCTCTATCTGGTGTAAAGTAGGCAGTAAGAGAGAACACCTTTCCCTAGCACATTTTCAGTGTTTCACTACGCAACACAGACTCTGTCTACATACACAGTAGAGGTATGGGCCAGGACATGAGAGCTGAACAAAGAACATGGTCATGAAAGCCACGTGTGCTGGAAATCACCTTCTGGAGGAGCATTTAACGTGCAGGCAGACTGGAGCAGAAGCATCAAACAATAAGCCATCTACAGTTATTAAAGCCTCAGTACCTTACTCTAGATAAAGGTCCTCGTTTTCCAGACAAAGTGACAACATCAAATCCTGTTCTCCTGCCACCTTCTCTAACTTCCTCTGTGTAAAATCCGTCAGTGGGAATGCCCGAGGATTTTAGAGCTTGTGTGACTTTCTGGATCAAAGTAGTCTTTCCAACCCCTAAAAATTAAAGAGGAAACAAAAAGCACACTGGATTAATTTTCTTCTCCACTAAAAGCCCATTTTTAAACATGACAGTAATGATTCAGTTGAGCAGGAACATTAATTACTTTTTAAGTTTTCAAGGGTGGTTTTTTTTTTTGATGGTAGGAAAGGAAAGCACAGAAACACCTTTTAAAGTTCATCTTGTACTGACACTGCAATGTTGTATTAGCCTTTAAGAAGTATGTTTACAGTGAAGCCACAACAGGATGGTAAAAATATCCCAGGCTGCCACTGAACTTGTTATCTTGTGTGTGGGCAGGGCACAAAGCTTGCCCCAAGGCAGGCAGATACCCGAAAGCCATACAGTTACACAGCTGATACCCAAGCTGGCTGGAAGACTGACTGATGAATCTCCCTTTCTACCACTGCTGTTCACTATTTTTTAAGAACAGAGCCAAGTTCATCCCCTGTTATATCACGACGTTAAAATTGACTTCTATTACCGGGAGCCTAACTGGCACAAAGGACACACTACTTCTGCTGATGTCCTAGAAACTGGAAGCACTTGGTGCTCCTGAGATACCAGCTCCTACATGGCAAAAAGTCTTTCCTACCACAGAAACACGCTTCCTATGATAACTGGAGCGAGACAGGGTTTGACTTGTTACAGTGAAAAGCTTTTTTGTCACCAGGACTATCAAGTCCTGCGCAAGGTTGCCCAGAGAAGCTCTACGGTCTTCACATCCTTTGAGGTTTTCAAGACTTGAGTAGATAAAGCCTTGAGTGACATGGTCTGGCCTCATAGGTGGCCTTCCTTTACACCTCCTGAAGTCTCTTCTCACACGAATGATCCTTCAGTCCTATAATCCATTTTCTTACCCTAAGACAGATCCTTAAAACCTTCACCACCCAATGTCTCCTAGCACAGTCTCACATACTTTCTACAATGTGAATGCTGGCCATAGTTCCAGACATCCTCTCAGTTCCCACAAAGGAGCTATTTCTTCTCCTTTGCCACTGTATGAGTACATCCCTCGACAATCTCCTTTTAAACTCAACTTTATTGCCTCTTACAAAATTTAGGATTATCACTTCATTTTTAATCACTGTTGCCAAAAAAATCAGAAGATAGAAAAGAGCCTGCAGAATAAACCTTTAAATTCCTGGAGACAAGGAATACATACCAAATGTGAGGTGCCTAAAGATGCCAACAGGAATAATTTCTATGTGCACATTACAAATTCCTCCCTTAGATTTTAAGCAGATTTAGGAACTACTTGCTTAACAGTCAGTATCACAAAATATTCTGTGGCTTCAAAGGCACCCAGTCAAACTATTAGGAAAAGTTTTCAAAATTGAAGGCAAAGCGATTCTTGCCATTCAAACAAGAATGAAATGACAAACATGGCACCATCAATATCTACCATCTTTCCAGGGCCTTGTCTCCATAAGTGAATTTATACTAATTTGGCTCAATAGATACACTATCCCCAATTCGGTTACCTTTGTTCAGTAAATTGCCAAAGAAAGCTAAAACTATTCAAATTAAGTTTAAGAAAGCTTAGAGCTATGTATGTAGCTAATCAAACCAGCACACTCGGTTTCAGTTAAATGAACGGAGACAAGGCCTAAGCAGGCCTAACCGCTGTGTCTCCCCGGGGGCTGCCTTTAGTCAGTGTATGGAAAGACAGAATGAAGTGGATGGAAGGTGTTGCTAACTCAGCCTAGCAGTGCCATTTTAAATTAATTCCAGACAACACAAGTATCTGCAAAAGGTTCACAAAGGAGAATTAGGCCCACTGCTCTACTTCCAGACCACAAAAACAAAGTTCTGCAATCATAACTGGTTTATTTATCAACCTTATAGTTCGACCCTCATACTCTACACCACTCTACCTCCACAATAATCAGATTTCCCTACCATGATAAACGACTCCGCTGCTTCAATCAAGGCCTGCCCATCTGGGATACCAATTATTATTAGCTGTAACCGAACATTACTCAGGGTGGAAGTGCTAAATCACTACAATTAAGTTAGGGTAAAGACAAGCCCTCATAAATTATTGATGGCTGCAGTTAAATGAAGCAGGATTTGTTGTCCTGGAGTCGGGATTTTTTCTCCCCAAATGCAGGGCTGGAGCCCGGGGCCAGAGCAGTAGCGCCTGGAAACGCACAGGACACGGGATGGGTCAGAGAGACAATATGGAGTTTGATTAGGAACAAATCAGTGGATGCAGCAGCGCCAGGGCAGCCTCAGGCCTGCACGCCTCGCAGAAGCGAGGGCCCGGCTGCAGCAGGAGGCGGTCCCGGTGCCCCCCTCACAGCCCGGGCCGGCGCTG